GCGGTGCTATAGGGAAATTATCCCGTTGATTGGATGGCAGTTCTTCTTAGAGACATTATATTAAGGACAAATCATGTTTGGGATCCGATCATCATAGTGTTAGATTAGGGGGTTAAGGAGTATTTGAATGGTCCAACCCCTTCACACGTGTGGTAAGTACAAAAATCAAAAGGGTCTCATGAAATATAGAACCATTGTACACCATTCTATAGGGTCCACTTTCTTCTTCTCTCATGTGCAGGATATGGGTTTGCTTTCAAAACCTTTCTTCCCCCTGGTTGATTTTGTTTTAGAAACACATGCTCTATTACCTTAAAATTTATGTCTAACACAACACAATTTCATGCATATGGTTTCTTTCGATTTGGATTTTAGGTAACTGATTCCAGGGATGGGAGTGAGAGAACACAAGCAAAAATGAATTAAAAGTAAACTGTAATGGTAATACGTGACTAGTTATCTAGAAATATATTATACATTCAATTATTTAGTTCTTTTAAGAGTAAGTTATTTATGCTAGTACTAGAGGAATTACTATAGAATTATCAACTCTGTCTTGCTTTTTGAAATTAAATTTTGATCAACAAAATGATTCTACAAGTATGATTGTGCTTGGGAGACTGTTCCATATCCCATACCTCCCATCCTCTCCTTAGCTTATATCTAATGATACATGCAACACATTTACACATAACTAAGGACAGTCATATTTCATTCTCTTTCTCTATGTCATGTGCCATTCTCATGCCAAGAACAGAACCTGACAACAACACCAAGCAGCACTAATTCAAAATTTGCATCACTAGGGGAAGGCACATGGTACACAAGGACATGATGTTTATTAATTATTATAAGCTATGCTTTAAAACATTATTTTCTCCACTCTTTTGGTCCCCACCCCATCATATTCTGCTTTCTGATTCAGTAATTATTTTCAAAAGAAAACACACCAATCTTAGATCAAATCATGTGACCCTCCTATACTAAGAGTGGTTTGATTCCTTCTGTTCAAGTGTTAAAAATATACAGCATTAGATCAAATTAATGTGATTAGATCCATTTTATGTCTCTCTTTTTTTTTTTTCTTTTTTTTCTTTTTTTTTTTTTAAGGAAAAATGCGAAAATAGAAGTGTTGAAAAAAAAAATGACAACATTGAAACCTTACTCAACTTTCACTTGAAAAGTTGAATGTAGTCCCAAACTGAGTATATCATGTGAAAATTGTGAATGTGGGTTTCAACACAAGGCTTGCATCCAATCTAAAACCAATTGGTGTTATACACTTAATGTAAGATTTTCCCACTTAACATGTCCCTTCACGTGCAAACCTACCATGAATGTCAAATCCTGTCACATGGTTTAATACACCACTTTATAAGTAGCGCCCGGTATTAACTTCAAGTCTTGTCAAATGGATTAACAATGGGCTTTTGAGGATAGAACCTAGGCTCGATACCATGTGAAAATTGCGCTTGTGGGTCTCAACACAAGACTTGCATCTAACTTAAAATCAATTAGCAATTAAGTAAAGTAACCCTTCTTATATTTAACCCACATACTTCTTTATTATATATTCAATGTGGGATTTTCCCACTCAATATGCCTTTTTACATGCAGGTTCAATATTAACTTTGGGTCTTGTCAAGTGCCCATAACTAACAATGGGCTTCCGAAAATGAAACCTTAGCTTTGATACCATGTGAAAATTGTGCATGTGGGCTTTAATACAAGACTTGCATCCAACTTAAAATCAATTGGAAATAAGTGGAGTAGCCATCCTTCTATTTAACCCACGAGCTTCTTGATTACATACTCGATGTGCCATTTTCCCACTCAACACACCCCCTCACATGTAGGCCCACTATGAATGTTGGGTCTTATTACGTGGCTTAATATAGGCTAACAATGGGTTTTGTAGGACGAAACTTGGGTTTTGACACATGTGAAAATTATGCTTGTGGGTTTTTGCATCTAATCTAAAACCAATTAATAGTAGGTAGAATGGCTTTCCTTCTATTTATCCCACATATTTATTTGTTATACACTCAATGTGGGATTTTCTTACTCAACACACCCCCTTACATGCAGGCTTGGTATTAACACTCTAATACCATGTGAATCCAATTGGCAATAGGTTGAGTAGCCCTCCTTGTATTTAACCCATAAGCTTTTTGTTATATACTTTATATGTGATTTTCACACTCAACACATGGGTCCTCATGTGTTAGCCTGCTATGAATGTCAAGTCTTGTTACATGGCTTAATACGCCCCCCTATGTGCAGGCCTAGTATCAACTTCAGGTCTTGTTAGATTGGCTAACAATGGGCTTTCTAGAACGAAACCAGGGCTCTAAAGAACGAAATCGGGGCTCTAATACCATTTAAGTAAAAACCAATTGACAATAGGTGGAATGACCTTCCTTATATTTAACCCATATGGGATTTTCCCTCTAATACCATGTGAAAATTGTGCATTTGAACTTTAATACAACACTTGCATCTAACCTAAAACAAATTGGCAAAGGTGGAGTAGCTCTCTTTGTATTTAACCCACAAGCTTCTTTGTTATATACTCAATGTGACATTTTCTCACTTAATAATCTTTGATCTAATTGTAGGACTTGATTAGATCATACACTGAATTCAATTCATTCAAGGTTAGTCGTAACTGTATGTAAAGGCAATGCATGCAATTTTGATGTGGATTTAGAGTTCCTCCATAGGGTGTAGCCATAGGGCCACAACTGCAAATGCAATACATATAATGTTGACGTGAATGTAGAGTTCCTCCAAAGCGTTATAGTCATAGCTGCAAAGGCAATAAATGGATTGATGTAGATATGAAGTTGCTCCAAGAGCTTTAGTCATATATAGCTTTAAAGTTTATTTTCCTTTTCTTTTCTTTTAGTAGGAAATGCTAATTCCATGTACATCTATTTTGACAATTGTCTATAAAAAAAAAAGAAAGTTTCAAATGAGATGCATATGTACAACAATTATCTTGCTCTGAATAAATGATCATTCAAGTGGTATCTTCATTACTATTGTTGTTGGTTTTTTACCTGTTATTTGAGGTTTGTCTTCAAATGGAAATCAAAGTTTTTTTTTATTGCTTGCAAAAGCTGTTTTTGAATGAGGAACCAATATCCTTGCTGGGTTGGTAAGGTCTATGAACTAGTTGTTAAAAAGGCAATTGTTAGAAAGGCAGTTGGAAGGCTACGGAACTTTTCTCTGCTAGAGAAGAGTACAGAGTTATTTGCTTTCCCTTTGTTCATATTATCACATTGGCATGTATAAGAGCCTTCAATTTCTAGCTTTTAACTACATTTTTTAGAGGACTATGGAATTTTTCATATCATCACTTCTTCCCCTTCTTCTTCTTCATAAGCACCAGCTTTCCATTTTTCTGTGCCACATGCAGGATAAATGATGAAGATTGATGTGAATTCATTTCGTAGCTGTCTCTTCATTATGATGCAAGTATGATATGTGTGTATATATAAATTGTTTGGTTATTTTATTCGTGACATTCTATGCATAATAAGAATTGAGTAAAGCCATGCATGCTCAAGGGTATTTCATCCTAATTTGTTGAAATTTTCAGGTGGTTAAATTCAAGTCAACTCAAACTTGAATGAAATAGTTCAAACTTCAAAATGACTTATGATCAGCTACTAGACTCATTTACAAGTTAATAGGTTTAATAGGTATAATATTTCTGTCCATTTTTATTTTGGGTATAGAACTTTTTAAAATATAAAAATTTATGGTTGCATTATTTGCCTTTATTATTTATTAATTTATATAAAAATATAAAAAATTAATTTTATTTTTAACACTAATAACAAGTGCACAATTTTAATTAAGTAGTGAATAAAATTAAAATCAATTTTTATTTTTTTATAACAATTAATTAAAAAATATGATTAATTAGGAAACCCAAAATATAGAAGTCTTTCAAGAAAGAAGGAAGCTACAAAGGATAAACGAGAGAAGCGGAAAAGTTAGAGTGATTCCCCACTGGCTCATTTCAAGCCTCTTTATATCACCATGATACAAAAGAAGACATCATCCATCTAAAAAGTTGGATCCACTACCTTTAATGCTTGTAATCAGCGTGATGAACATAAAAACAAGTTTAAAACCAACGGGGTGCATTAGGCGATGAACCTGAAAAGCCGCAAGCATTTTTCCATTTTTACATTCCTTCTACAAATACCAGTCTTGCTCCCATTCAGCAAGAGAATGTTTGAATACACGTTAAATGCAGAAGAGCAATAAAATGCCAGAGAGGTTATTTTGTAGGTGTACAAACAATTGAACAACACATAAAAGACGAGTCGACAACAATAGGAATAATACCGATGGTCATAAAATGATAAAATATACTAGATGACAGGTAAAATTGATCCAATCAAACCATTCCAGTTCTATGATATTTCCCCACAATCATTTCAGGTATCATAGCTCTCCTCAGCACCCTCCTCCTCGTACTCGCCCTCATCCTCCACAGTCGCATCTTGGTATTGCTGGTACTCTGCCACCAGGTCATTCATATTGCTCTCTGCCTCTGTGAACTCCATCTCATCCATCCCTTCTCCGGTATACCAGTGCAAGAAGGCCTTGCGGCGGAACATGGCTGTGAACTGCTCGCTCACCCTCCTGAACATCTCTTGAATTGACGTAGAGTTCCCCACAAAAGTAGATGCCATTTTCAGACCCCTCGGTGGAATGTCACAAACACTGGACTTCACATTGTTAGGAATCCATTCTACAAAGTATGAAGAATTCTTGTTCTGGACATTGATCATCTGTTCATCCACCTCTTTGGTGCTCATCTTTCCACGGAACATTGCCGAGGCTGTCAGGTAGCGGCCGTGGCGGGGATCAGCAGCACACATCATGTTCTTGGCATCCCACATCTGCTGAGTTAGCTCTGGGACAGTGAGGGAGATATACTGCTGGGAGCCACGAGAGGTGAGGGGGGCAAATCCCACCATGAAGAAGTGGAGACGGGGGAATGGAATAAGGTTCACAGCCAACTTCCGAAGGTCAGAGTTCAGCTGACCAGGGAACCTGAGGCAGCATGTTACGCCACTCATAGTTGCAGATATCAAGTGATTCAAGTCTCCAACTGCGAATTGGAAGAATAACCGAATAGTTTCATTAAAGCATTTTAACAATCAATCAAAAGAAATTATTTAATACTCACAGCTTGGAGTGCTGAGCTTTAGAGTACGAAAGCAAATGTCATAAAGTGCTTCATTGTCAAGAACCATGCATTCGTCTGCATTCTCAACCAATTGGTGCACAGAGAGAGTGGCATTATAAGGCTCCACGACCGTGTCAGAAACCTTTGGTGAAGGGAAAACGGAGAATGTCATCATCATCCTGTCTGGGTATTCCTCTCTAATCTTTGATATCAGAAGAGTTCCCATACCAGAGCCTGTGCCTCCTCCAAGTGAGTGGCATACTTGAAAGCCTGGTAAATATGAAACAAGAGAAATTGAGTTTCTCCAAGCAATTCTGTATGGAAATTTAATCAACTGCCATTTGGAAAACAGTAAGATTTTTAAGAAAAACCAGGAACTCCAGCGAGAAACTCATTGATAATTCTACTCAAACACCTATGCAGACCAAAAAATGTAAACTGCATGCATTGGGTTATCATCCTGTACCTGATCCAACTTATGACTGCGATAAGTCAACACACATCCTAGACGTTCCCTGTAGTTAAATGAACTGATGTGGGGTTTGTTTCAAAACATGTAAGAAATTTTTCTAATGACGTGCATTGTAGATTTACAGGTCATATTCATTGCAGGCTTGCAGCTATATAACCAGTAGTGCATGAATACATATGGGTGATTGTATGCATCTGATTGTTTCACAAGCATTTTTCACTCAAAACATGACGCAGATCTGGAACAAGGCACAACTGCGCATGATGTAAAATTCTTTAATATCTTCTATTGGATAAATAAAGATCTAAAGCTGAGGGAAGTTATGAATTAGCATGTGATATTTGTAAAAAATACAGATATGTAAAATAGTCACATGACTCACGTCATTATGCATACATATACATGGCATACTAGTGACTGTTAATTCCTTTTTAGATTCAGATATTAAATTAGACCAAACCAGATCAGTCAAAATGAAAAAGACAGCAATACAAACAATGGCCCTGCTGAGACCACGGTAAGTTCTAACTTTTGAGTCATTGTCACAGTAAAACAAAGATTATGATAATGTTGTTAGGGAAAAAAATCATGGGCTAGGGTAATCACTATCATGATATGATAAAATGAGATATACAGTACTTATAACATCAGATCTGCTTACATAATAATGCATCAGAAAAGTTGATACAGACTCATGAATCCCCTGCTTCACATTACAACAGGATAACAACTTATTTTTTCATTGCCAAAAATTTTAAGATAATAGCAACTAACACAAGATGCTAATATTATAACTTAAATGAGTGGGGCAGTGGGAAGTATGCAGGCTACCCCTTGCATATCACATTCACAGTGAATAACTAATCATATTCGTAATTGAAGGAATGAACTACAATTACTCAGAATCAAATTATTCAGAATTTTTTTTTTATCTTGTTAAATAATAGCATTTTCCATCGCATGAAGATATCACTGAAAGTTTAACTAGAACCAGCTTAAACCAGCTCAAAACGAAGTTTCATGGAAGAATTGATCAAGTCAGGAGGATCCATGGCCACAAAAAGAACCATAAGTCTCCGAAGTTGTCCTAAAACTCCAGCAGAACCTTAGAGTGTAAAGAAATCATATGACTTATGGATTCTAAATCAGTTTGAATTTCACACAAAGTTTGGAATCAAATAGAAAAGGGTAGCTACCCTATGCATTCAGGCCAACAAACTTTTGTTTTGTCGATTAAATTTAAATAATAGATAATTAAAACTCTTTCAAAAGTCAAATGGAAAATAAAACAGATTACCAGAATACCATTACTGTTAGAGTTAGATTTGAAGCAAGTAATACCTTGCAAACAATCACAATTCTCGGCCTCCTTACGAACAACATCAAGAACGGTATCAATCAGCTCCGCTCCCTCGGTGTAGTGTCCTTTCGCCCAGTTGTTTCCAGCGCCAGACTGACCGAACACAAAGTTATCGGGCCTGAAGATCTGGCCATAGGGACCCGATCTGATGCTATCCATGGTACCAGGTTCCAGATCCATAAGAACAGCCCTGGGCACGTACCTGCCACCAGAGGCCTCATTGTAGTAAACATTGATGCGCTCCAATTGAAGATCTGAGGAGCCGTCACCCCGGTACCGTCCGGTGGGATCAACACCGTGCTCGTCGCAGATGACCTCCCAAAACTTGGAGCCGATTTGGTTGCCGCATTGGCCTCCTTGAACGTGAAGGATTTCTCTCATTGTGAATCGGAGATCAGAGATTCCGCAGCAGAGGCGGAGGTGTTTGGATGGGGAGAAACGGAAAGGAGAACGGATTTGTAGGGGGGAAGAGAGGGAGAGGGAGAAGGAGAGGTTGAGAAGGTAATAATAGACAGCAGGATATTTTTTTTCAAGGTTTGTCAGTAATGAATGTAAGTATGTGACAGCTAGATGGAGAGAGTATGGACAGGAACAAACCGCTGGAGGGGAAGGGTGCCCACGTTACGAAGGTGAAGCGCCATGTGGGGTGGGGGGAGATGTTTTCACATTTTCTTGCGGAATAGCCTATTTCCTTCGTATTCCGTTACAGTTGAAGCGCGCCAAACGAGAGATTACCTGCCATGTGTAAGAATCCTATTGGGTTACGTAAAAACTTAACAGATGTAACGGGCCGACAAAAGATTAATGCTTTACAAACTATTGGGCCGTGATAGGCGTCCAGATGAAAAACATTTAAGGTCTGTTTGTAGGAATGAAACTTTATAAGCACAAAAATTGAGATGAAATATGGTTGATTATATATATATATATAAAAGGGGTTGTTTTATAAAATAATAAGTTCTAAATAAATATAATCTACTCTGGTAGGAGAAAGTTTTTCGAGCTTAAAAACTTCGAAAAGTTTCATTTCAAGGTGTATAATCATTAACTTTTTTTTCATTTAGTTGATTTTTTTTAATATTATAATCATTCTATTATTGATTTTTATCCCCAAAAATTTATTTTCTTTAGGCAAAACCAAGGCATTTTGATTCCTTTTCTGAAAATATCTTACAGAAAGTGGGTTACCAAACAGACCCTTTAGGGTCTTTTTGACACATTTTCACAATGATATCTAAAGAAAATAGAGGAAGAGGAACCAGAAGCATAAGCAACCCATCATGTTGTTCTAATGTAACAGTTGGGATTCATTTCAATACCATTTGAGGTTCAGAGCCTCGTCTACCAAGAAGTCACTGCAAAGAAGAAGCATGATCGTTAAGAATTTGCAAGATTAATTGAGAACCTATGAACTATCCATCTATTATCAAACTAGACTAGATATGGCTCACGGTATCTGCTCAGCCATTTATGATACTTCCCAGATTGGACTCCAAAAGATAATCTGACAGGAGAGCAGACTTTACCTGTGGTACTTCTGGGGATTGGAAATGCTACAGTAATAATTATCCATACGGTCATTTTGCATAGGTGGAAGCCTTATCAGTCCATAAAAGAAAATGAGTGGTTTTTGAACAAATAGAATGAGCTTCACTTTAGGCCCTTTTTCAAAGGGCACTTGGTACAGTAATGTTACTAGTGCCCCAGTTGATCTTTAGATAAAACAAATTCCATGATCATAGCGTAGAAATACTCGAGAAAAATAATATTTTCGTTTCATTTTACTTGTCATGATATATATTTTTAAGTAATTTTTTATGATATATAAATAATAATTTAATTTTTATCAGGAAATGAAATTGCTCAATAACAATTATAT